TCTCTCTCTCTCTCTCTCTCTCTCTCTCTCTCTCTCTCTCTCTCTGTATCTCTTTCTTGTGTGTGCTTTCTCTTGTCTCTGCTGTTGTTCTCCGCAGTTTTTCTTGTACCAGCTAACAGGTGCGTATGTGCGTGCGGGCGTGCGCGTGTGGCTTGGGTGGGTTGTTGGAACCTTGGCCGCGAAGTGCTTCGTGCTGCATCAAGAATGGTTTTTGTTGCTTGTTTTTCTCTTGTGTTGGAACCCCTGAAGCCCTGAAGGGATCGTGGCCTCCACGTAAATTCATTCTGTCAACGGTGGTGTTGGTTGTTTCGTTTTTTCCCTCTTGTTGTTGTTGCTTTTGAACTTCTCCTCTCACTCTTGAGGTATTGTGGCCGCCTACTACCCGGAGGACCCTGAAGCTAACGGAGTGGCGCCGGGGGCACAGATCGTCTCCCTCAAGGTACGCACCTGTCGCTCTCATATTGGTAGTCGTTGTTGTTGCTGCTGCTGTTGTTGTCGGTGGTGTTGGTGGCTATGCTTTCGGCATCTGTTTGACTCACCGCTTATCCTGTGCTTGACTGGCTTTGCACGTGGCTTGCTTGAACCCATGACGATTCTCCTCCCTACCCCCGCCATGATTCTTTCCCGTCTCTATTCAATTGTCGTGTTTTTTTGACGTGTCGTTTCGGTGATGTCACGTTAGATCGGGGATTCTCGTCTGGGTTCGATGGAGACCGGCGTCGGCGTCGTTCGCGCGGTGACCGAGGCCGTGAGGATGGGGTGTGACGTCATCAACATGAGCTACGGGGAGGCGGCGGCCCTGTGCGACAGCGGGAGGTGAGAGACGAGACACGAGACACAAGGGCTCAGCGCTTAATAGTGGTATTATGTTTACATAAGAAGTATTTTTTTTGGTGTTTGTGCTTCCTGCTATTTTTCTCTCTTTTCGGCGTTGTGGCATCCTAACATAGCGTGGTACGGTTGGTATGCTTGAAGAGTTGTTGTGCGTCCAAAGAGCACGCACGGTAGGTAGTAATTGGCCAATATGGAACGTCTGTGTGGTGCCTCAATGTACTGTAGCCGTCCGATAAAATGCAGATGATGAAGCGTTCCACGTTGCTCTTCCGAACGAGTGATCGGTCACTTTTTGCCATGTGCCAATTCACGCCAAGGTTGACTTCGCTCTAACACGATGTTGTCGTACATGAGTACCATAAGATTGCGAGTCAGCGCGCGGGGGTGCGATCGATTTTCAAAGCGCAATTTCTTCCCAACCAGGAGGGTGCGAGCGCCCACTGACACTTGTCCGGAAAGCTCTCGATGAGATATTTCCAAAGCCACCCTGTTCGACGGTGGCAACCTCTTGGTTGTGGAAAAATGGCCCTTGGAATATCGATCGCACCCCTGTGCGCTGACTCGCATCCTGACGACGGTGCATGAGATAATGCCGCCAATGCGACAGTGATGTGCTGCTGTGAGCCAATCGTCGCCGGACGCACGTGGTGTGCTTCACGTGTCCATCATTTCTTGTGCACCATATGACAACAGGCTCGAGAGTCTTGGCGAGAACGTCACACACAGTGGAACGTGTAGGCGCCACGTGGTTGAACGTGCGCTGACTTGGAAGTTTATTGCTCGGTAGTAGTCGTCGGGTGTTCACTTTTTCTGTCGATTTTTTGGCAAGGTGTATGTCTTTGTCTTTGTGGAACCTTTGTCTACCTTCTCACAACCAAATCGATTGTGCGTCCCTTGATTACTTTTGGTTTGAACGTTTCCATGTACCTTTGTACCTTCCTCGTGTGCACCTCTCCACCTTGCATGTGTCGATGGCATGTACCCTGATTCCCTTGGCTGGGAAATTCTCTTGTACCTTTGTGACTGTCTGTCCCTTTCATTTTACTTGTTCTTTGGATGTACGTTTTTTTTTTCGCGCATGTGCGTGCTTGCGTGCTTGCCTTTCGTGTAGGGTCTCCGACGTGGTCCGTGACGCGTCCATCAAGCACGGCATCTTGTTCCTTGGGTCGGCCATGAACGCCGGCCCGGCTCTTACCACCGTCCAAGCCCCGGGGGGAACAACCCGGGGCTTGATGGGAGTGGGCGCTTACGCGTGAGTAGCGTCCCTCTATCGTCATTCCCGCGCCCCCGCATGACGTCACCAACCTTTGGGATATGCATCCCCCCCCCGCGCGCGCTTTCCTTGTCGTTGCCGTGCTTCCTTCTTGCCCGTGTGTGTTTTATGTGTATGTCCATGGCGTGGTGACCGTGTGGGGGATGGATGGTGCGGCCGAACGAACGATCGATTTATCGAATGGTGTGCGTCGTCAACGACAAACGCCATCCGCCCGCCCGTCATCCGCTCCTTCGTGGTGGCTTGCCGTGCCGTGGCCTGTTGGTTGGTTGGTTTGTCTGGGTTCGGATTCGGTCCTTCGGTCCGGCCCTCTTTCACGTGTACGTTTTGAATCTGTTCCGTCATGCCCACAACGTCCGCCGGCTCACGTCCGCACTCACTCGCACGTCCGCACTCACTCGCACGTCCGCACTCACTCGCTGGCAAACGCTTCTTTTTCGTGGCTTTTCCCGCATGCTTCATATTTTTATGTTTTTTTTTTTTTTCTCGTCGTTTTTCATCTTGGTTGTACCTCGTATGATGGTGTTGGCGATTCGCGTTATCTATCACACGCATGATGGTTGACCCCCTTTTTTTTTGTGGATTGTCTATCTGGCCGGGACGTTTGACATGTTACTCTGTTGGCGCCGCTGTAAAACACCCGAAAAACCTGTTATACTGCGTGGTGGTACTCAATCAATAAACACCGTTGTGGCAACGAAAAAAGGGCGATCGATGTTGCACGCGAGGCCGTGCTCAAGCACCGCCTTGTCTTTGTGTCATCCGCAGGGAACAGCGGCCCCGCCCTTAGCACCTCGGGGGCTCCGGGTGGCACGACACCCTCCCTGTTATCCGTGGGAGCCTATGCGTATGTGTTTTTATTTTTATTTTTGCGTTTCTTCACACCAAAGACCTACGTACCTCGTTTTAGTGCAGTCTAATTTCATGCCGCCGTTCCTTCCGCTCGGTCCCAACCGTGCCAGACTTCGTTCACATATGACGAGTAGCTGGACAAGGCGTGACGCAGGACGACCCTTGGCGTCATCCCCACCCCATGCACACGGACGCATTCCAAAGCCGCCCTACAGTAGTAATACTTTCTCCCTTCACGGGTGATGCATTTTTTTCGAAATGGTCATGTTCGAGGCATTTTTTTTGTCAGCATTTAACCCCCAACGTTTCCCTGTCGTTGCCGTTCTTGACGGCAGGGAGTTAGCCCCCCCCCCCCCCCCCCCCCCCCCCCCCCCCCCCCCCCCCCCCCCCCCCCCCCCCCCCCCCCCCCCCC